CACCACCACGATGGTGAGGTCACAGGAGACATTGCTGGCCGTGTCCTCCCCGCCTTGCTCCCTGGAAGCAGTGGCAATGAAGCAGATGGGATGGGCGGGGGGGCGAGGTGGTGACAATGGAGTGTGGTGGGGGGTGAGGCCACCAGAGCTGGCCTTGCCCCCCACCCCCTGCTCCTTGGAGGTAACAGTGGTGGTAGCGGTGCAGGGGAGGGGGGGGAGCGGGGTCAGGACATCGCAGGGGATGTGGCCACCAGTGTTGACCTTGGCCCATCCCCCCACTTTTCCATTGTCACCTCCTGCAGGGCCAGTTGCGGTGGCAGGGAAGGGAGGAACAGGCCTGCGCGTGCTCCTGCCCTCCCCCTGCTGCCGTGGCAGGGAACGGGGGAACAGTCCCGGACCCCAAGCAGAAAGGGGGTGCAGGCCCAGGCCCAGCACAAGGAGGGGTCGAGAAAGGAGCAGACCCACCATGGCTGGGGGTCCAGAAGTGGTCCTGGGCTGATGCGGCAGCAGTGGGGAGAGGGGAGGAGTTGGGCTGGGCCCAATTGGGGGGGGGAGGAGAACCGAGCCTGAGCCGGGGGAGAAGCGGGTCCGCCACGGCGGTGGGGGAGAAGCAGCGGGCCCGGCCTGATGCTGTCTGATGCAGCAGTGGCTGGGGGAGGGAAGGAGTGAGCTTCCTCCCCTGCTCAGGTCCAGGACCACTCCTTCCCCCCCCCTCCTCCCCCCCACATCAGCTCTGAGCCTGCTCCTCCCATTCCCTCATCACCGCTGAGTCAGCCCAGGCCCGCTGCTCCTCCCACCGCAGCGGACTTGTTTTTTCCCACCCTCGAGCCCAGTCCTGTCCTGCATCAGACCCGTGCCTACTCCTCCTCGATAGTGATCGATGGGAAGCTGGGTGACAGCGACCACGAGCTGATCACCTTCACCATCCGCCGAAAAGCTGGCAAGTCGATCAGCAACGCGCAAGTCCTTGACTTCAGGAAAGCCGACTTTGACAAGCTCAGGAGGCTTGTCAGTGAGGCCCTAAGGGACCGTGACCACAGGGAGAGGGGAGTTCAAGAGGAATGGTTGCTCCTCAAGGGAGCGATCCTCAATGCACAAACTAAGTCTATTCCATCTCGGAGGAAAGGCAGCAAGAGGGCACAGCAGCCCCCCTGGCTCTCCAGGGACCTAGCAGATCTCCTGAGGCTAAAAAGAAAGGCCTACAAAGGGTGGAGGATGGGAGTCACCTCCAAGGAGGATTATTCTGCACTGGTCCGGTCCTGTAGGGAGCAGACCAGGAAAGCCAAGGCTGCAACTGAACTCCAACTAGCTTCGAGCATCAAGGACAATAAAAAGTCCTTTTTCA